TAAACGATTATTCGAATGAAAATCGGACATCACTAGATGAATGTGAAACGTCATTTCAAATATAAGGCCGTTCATAAATAATGATACAATTTGAAAGGGACCGGGGCTAATCACAAATTACGTCTCCATGGTAACTGAAATAAACACGAGTGTTCACCGGTTGCTTTTAATGTACGGCTTTATTTCCTACCTGTCGCTTAGAACGAGATTGTAGGATCTTTTTGCGAGTCTTACATTCCCGAAAATTTGAGTGTGGTTTTCACCACAATTTGGACTTTATCTAAGAACCAGTGATTACACATTGCTACCTATGAGTTAATGGACAAATAGCCCTAAAGACAAAAACTGCCATGCTTACCCTTATTGCACGTTATTTTGAGCCTACTCTGGCTGAGAGTGGATCGCACTCATTTTTGCATGCTCTAAAGACCTATTTGACGTTTAATCGTCTTTCTCTATCTAGCACACAGGGATGAATGGATGGTTTGTTTTCCCACTAATCTGTTTCCCTCTTCCTCGAACTTCTTCAATTTAAATGGTGCATTAGTGTGCGCCGATTAAACGTCAAAAAGCTCTATGGAGTTGTCAAAAAATGAGTAAACTGTTTTTTACTCCGATGAGTGGGAGCCTCGGTGGGAGCAACCCAGATTCTGGGTAAATGGTTCTGATATCATTTTTTTTCCTATGTTTAAATGGCACACTTTGAAGTTGTGAACAGGTGATTTTAGCGCAGTGAGTTTAAAATTAGTTTTTAGAAGTGAAGCAGTTACGTAATGATGGTAAGGTATGCAACTCTAATAAATAGTTCGTTGGTATCAATAAATACAGAGTTATCATTTTCATAATGTTTTTTTTTTTAATTTTCTTCCTGGACGAAACAATTTAAATATAAAGCATTCATGGGGAAATCATTCGTTTCTACTGAAATGGGTAAGGTTTACTCAGTTGACAAATGTCATAACCTGAGTAACCGTTACCCAGTTTCCTTCATAGGTACGTTTACTCATTTTTGAGTAACTTCCCTTTTGTCTGGACTGAATGATTTGCGACTCAAAAATGAGTAGCCTCAAAATAGTGTGTGCGAAGAACAACTTACTCATCTGTTGATGTTCTTGTGTGGTGTAGTTCACAATCATTACGCCACAGTTTTCGCAAACGGAATCGATCTGCATTGCGTCTTCGTCGGAGAATCCGTAGATGAAAAGCGTTTTGCCGTACATGAATTGCGACTGGGTTTCCAGTTCAGCATCGTGCATGGTGGGTCCACTAGAGGGCGGTGGAGCAGCTGGTTGAGTCTTTTTCGGTTCCGCAGAAGAAGGTGACAGTTGAACGGAGGTGTTCTTTTGCATATACTGCTTCAGGACATCATCTTCGGTGCGACTGCCAAATTTTGAAACGAAGGTGACGAAGAATCTTTCCCAAGTAACCAAAAGTTCTGATAAAAGGCCATTTGTGGCTTAAGCAGCTTAGTTGGTGATGGTCTTTAGAATTCTAAGCAGCCTCATTTTTAAGTCGTTATAAGAACTTGAAAGTTCCGGTATCATAATTGAAGAGCATTCTAAGCAGCTTCTGGCGGAACTTGAACGGAACTTTTAGAAAATAAATTAAAAAAGGTTTTTTTCCTCTACACCAATTCTATTGTTTAGTTCGCACTTTTATGAAAGTTATTTCTAAAGGCAGGTATTAATGTGTATTGATATTATCAGCATTAGCTGGAGCTGTTTGAAGAATTAAACCCAGTCCTTCTGCGTGAGAGCCCCAGCACGAACCGCTGCGTCATCTGAAATATATTAAAGTGAGCTGTTGTCCCGCCTACTGTTGGAGTTTTCAGTGCCAGCTGACTGACTTGCATACGAAACACAATACCTTGATGAATTTTAAATTGGTATTTGCCCGCATGGTATTCCAACCCATTTGTGGCGCAGTGGTTAGCGTTAGTAGATCGCATGCCGAATACACGGATTTGAATCCAGGAATATGTATGTATGTATAAGAATTATGATTTATTCGGGCCACTGATCATTTAATATTTACGTACATTAAATTTTGTTACTAATAAAGACTTGTGCGGATTGCTTCATGTGGCTTGAACTTTATGGAACTTGAAAGTTCTGTCGGAACTTTATTTGAACTTTATGGAACTTGAAAGTTCTGTCGGAACTTTATTTGAACTTTATGGAACTTGAAGGTTCGGTTGGAACTTTATTTGAGCTTTATGGAGCTTGAAAGTTCTGTCGGAACTTTATTTGAACTTTATGGAACTTGAAGGTTCGGTCGGAACTTTATTTGAACTTTACGGAACTTGAAAGTGATTTTAATCGTTGAATGTGGAACTTTTGGTTACTTGGGTATTCAATGCCAAACGGGCTCCATTTGAGAAAATGTTGGTGCATTTTTTAAAAGTAGGATAATGAAAATATGTATTCAAGTCATTGACCAAAATTATGGATCACCTTGAAAACAAAACCTGATTTTTTTTTATCATACCTTTGTTATTTTTTGTCCATTTTTTTTTTATATTTTTAATGTAAAATTTCACTGTATTTTTCAAAATTTCATATCATTTTTTTATACAGTGGGGTGAACTCAAATTTTTGATCGGTGACTGGAATAAATATTCTTATAAATTAAATACTTTATAAATTTTTCCTCCTATTTACTAGGGGAATTTACGTATTCTCGTCAATCTAAGCAGCGTCCGAACTTCTATTAGCGATTTCTCAGCGTCACACACATACATGACAGGTTTATTTGTTGACATTTATCTGCTGCTTGCTGTTCTACCAATTTCAATCGACAGAATTGATCAAAACGGGTTGAACATGTTTTTACAACGCTCCAAACTTCTCAGGTGAGTGTGACTATTGTCGGCAGTCTCTTTTTCTTCGGCACCCTTTCCATTTGAACTGCGTGTTAACCAGCTGTTCTATTATCGGCAACTCGAAATCAGCCGTATTTTGTAGTGTGTATATTTCATTTAAAGAAAAATATGGCAGAACAGGATTGCACAGTCGTAAAAATGTAATCAGATTGAAGCTGAAAAGGTAAGGAATCGGCTTAATATATTCAGCGAAGAGTTTTGATGGGAAAATACAGTGAACTTAACGTTTCAATTTCGGTTGCCGAAAACAGTCGATGGGTGCCGAAGCCATAATTTACCCCACTTTCGTTTCAAAATTTCTGAGAAAATCAGTCAAGACTCTTCAAAGTAAATTTTGAAAACCCAGAACTTCAACATTTTTCAAAATTTACTTTGAAGAGTCTTGACTGATTTTCTCAGAAATTAAAATTATATTGAGCTACCTATGAGCTAAATTATTATAGTCACTTTAACACTCATGGGTCATTCGTTACTTGTCCGGGGGTGAGATTTGAACTCGTGACTTTGGCGTGAGAGGTATGGATGCTAACCACTACGCTGCACACTTAAATTTTTTTGCCGAGATGGGCACCACCGAGCAGCTCGGCATTTCATTTTGCTGGAAATTCAGCAAAAAATATGTTTGTTAGCTGAGATCTCGGCAAAATTCCCGTTTGTTAGCTGAATATCGGCAAGTTTTTCACTGAGATCCAGCAAAATAAAATGCCGAGCTGCTCGGTGGTGCCCATCTCGGCGAAAAAATCTAAGTGTGTGGGGTCGCCCCCATTGCATAATTTTTTGAAACCATATGAATTATTGTGTATATCTGTCGTTTGTTACATGCCAAGTGAAAACTTAATCGTATTTTGTTGTAGAACGTTGTGGTTTTGAGATGCTCGATGACCCTGGAGGGATCGTTTTTGTTTCTGAGTAAAAAATCATGGGTGTAATCCTAAGCTCTTCCACAACAGAATAAATCACCATCGCCGGGTTTCTAGAGTACAAAGCGTCGTACTAACCATAAGTTGAAATGTTCAAATCATTATTACATTGGAACTAAACACTTAATTAAGAAAATATACACCGCGTAAATTCCGCAATCCACGTAAAAAAATCGCGTAAATTCCGAAATCCACGTAAAAAATAACCACGTAAATTACGAAATCCGCGCAAAAAAAAACATGTTAAAAAACGCGTAGAAAGCGACTCCAGTGTACTCTTTCGAGAGTCGACTGTCGAGAGATTAAACGAGCAACCCATTAACAACATATGCTTTTGGACGTATTGCTAGCTTGAGGCGAATCCTGACCTAATTTACTATCAATTTCGCCAATTCCGTAGCACCTATGAGGGTATCGCTAAGTCGGTGGCCTCTTGTCAAGTAAGTACTACCTGACCTTAATTTGCAATTAATCAAATTTGCTGAAACATCTTTTACCTCAACTCAACAATTGGTGACCAATAAGCTCAGATATATTGGCAGACGAACGTATAAAATTAAATAGAACTAAACTTGATGATTGAGCGTAAAATTAAAATTATTTTCTTTAGTTTCCCCTTCTCCCTCATATCCTCCTGTTCATAAGTAACCCGAAGAAAATGAAAACGAATCATCAAATCATTTGGGATCATATTAATTATTTCTATTCTTCTGTTTTCTAATGAAGAACACATTTCTCCTTTATGATAAGAAGGGCTAAATCTTCACAAAGCAGTCGATTGGTCGGTCCAAATGCGCAAGTGGACAGAGTAAAATGGTATTTATATTAACGGATTTGCAAAACTTCGGCTGTCTGCTCTACAGTAAGGTCAAAATGTCTAATGAAACAAGGTTGACGAAATTCTCGAGGAAAATCGGTCAACATTGAACGAAAACCTCTAACCCCAAACAATTCGTGCCACAATGTCCACACAAATCTTAGTCAACAGATATAAATTACGCAATCAATGTAGAGGATTTGCAAACACCCGCACGGGAAGCACGTTTATTCGGTTAGTTACCTTGTTTTCGGTCAAACAACGGTAGATAAAATGTTGTTAACGTGTATAAAGACTTTGCGGTGGTCAATCCGTTGCTTCAATTGTCAAAAGGTTTTCATCCAGTAGTATACAGTGAAGAAAAGTTATTTTTTTTTGTAAAATGCGAGTGGGTTTTATAGTGATATGCGGCATATCGCTGCTATCATTAGTCAACGGATACGCTATGAAATGCTCCAAGTGCACAAAGCATGACTGTGTGTGTAGACAGAAAATCCTGAAAGCTACCATTCTGGACCCACCGGACTTCGAAAGTACCAAGCAATGCGAGGAAACAAACCCCACCGATCTGAAGCCAGTTAAAGATTGCTGTTCGTGTGTAGACGTAACGCACGTGCGGCCATGCCCGAGGGATGCAGATGAGCCCAAATTTGCGCCATCAACATCATGCGAGTGCGGCTATGACGAATGCAAAACTCCACCAAAGTAAGCATATGCGCACTCATTTAACGGTTGATTTAATGTTTAACAACTTCACTACCGCCATCTGATGTAAGCTCTACGCTCCACAATGTGGCCAACAGTTTTACGATCAACAAATCAGGGGAAACATTTCAGAAGTGTCTAACTCGAAACGTAAACAATGACTTGAATCGTCGGCTTCATACGAATGACAACACACCCACTCAAACTAACTAAGGCTCTGAACCATTTGGTGGAATATTTTAACTTTAGCTTAAAATTTGACAGATGGAAAGTTATCGATTAACCCTGCTATCCGAGCGTGGTTACTCCTGACAGACAAGAAGTTAAATTTTGACGACCGTGGCTCGAAAACCGGTCGATCGACAGCACGGGGATTTTCGAACATAAGAAATAACTTTCGAAATGTCACTTTTAACCACGAGTTAAATTTAACTCGGCAAATGGTTCACAGCCTACATAGTCTGACAGAGATATGTTTGTCCTATGAGCTGGTGTCGTCAGATCTGACATGTTTCCCCTGAAATATTCTCAATGGTATTTCCACAGATAAACAGACATAACACTCTCAATTTGTTGTTTGAACACGTATTTAACGGTCAATTAAAATATTTCTGAGTTGGTAATAACGCCACCTGTGGCACGCATAGTCAATTCCCTTGCGGTTGACCGTCATCTGTTGAGCGTATTGCCCGTCACAGTATTCTCAACAGATGGTGGTAGTGTTTTTGGGACGATGTTTTACATTGAGAAATATGCAATGTATTATGTCTGTTTGTCTGTGGTATTTCTGTGGTGGCTGTGGCTGTGAATATTTCATAATGCAGCAGATCTCTAGACACATTCTACCGGGATGTATCCACGTTTTTGCCCGATTTTGCGCAGTTTTGTATTGTAATTGAACAAATTAAGAAGAACTCTTGCAGTTTTGAAAAGTGCGATAAATTGTCTATAAGAATTGATCAAGAGTTTTAGATTTGAGTAGCTCAAAATGATTTCGTAAGCGACTATTAAGTGCGACGTTACAAACGAGTTGCACTACTCAACAACTTCTCACCAAACAGTTGGAGCTAACCTAAAACGGGGTAATTTTGATAGTTTTTTTTATAAAGTGTATTATAAATATTGTTTGCACCAATGAATGTTTTTCAATTTTTTGCGTTCAATTGAATGAGTATGTAACACTAGTTTACAAATAAAAGTAAAATAAATGAACTTCAATGATTGACCTATGATCCTTATGTAAAATCGTGCGCTGAATCAAAAAATTTAGTCAAAAAATCTCAGTAGAATAATTTTATAGATACAGCTAAAAAACGATATTTCACTTTAAAAACGTTTTTTTTTCAAACAAATATCTCCGGCTGTAAATAAAGCTATATAAATTATTTTAACGCCAAATTAAAGGTAAGAAAATTTGATTTCAATCAATTAGGCACCATTTTGTTTAATTTGTTTTATTTGTTTTGCATATTATCAAGAAAACTTGGATTTCAGCTAAGTGTTTAACCAAGGTAAATAATTTTGTTTGTAGTGGTTATGCCAACAATACCACTAATCTAACTAAAAAATTATGTCGAGTTGATCAAAAGCAAACTTTCTTACCTTTAATTTGAAGTATAGCATAATTGATATAGCTTCATTATAGCCGGAGATATTTATTTTTTAGTAGTAAATTTTTTTTTTTAGTGGAATTTCATTTTTTTTTGCTGTGTCTAGAAAACTATCCTACTGAGATTTTTTTGGCTACATTTTTTGATTCAGCATACAATTTTACATGGAAGATGACCCCCAGCGTACAAAGCCGAAATATGCTGTAAACTAGTGTATGTAATCAGAAACATCATTTGCAATAAGAAATTAATTTAATTTGTGATGACTATATTGGAAATACATTTAATAAGTGATTCTTTGAGTGCCTTCTCAAACAGGCTAAAACCAACAATATTTATTTTTTCAAATACAGTTATACCTCGATATAACGTAACTGTCGCTGTTGACTTCCATCGTCAATATCTCCCTAATAACAATTGAATCATACAAATTAATATCACCAATAAATGGGGGATTATCTCATCTACCCGATGCTTGTTTGAATGATAATTGGCGGGAAATAGACGATGGAAGTCAAAAGGGACAGTTACGTTATAACGAGGTATACCTCTTTTTGGAAAATATGTAGCACATACTATTTAAAAACTCTATACGATATCAAAGGTAATACCATACCGGAAGCTACAAAATGGGATCAATGATACAATAGACATAATAGAGCAGAAGGTAAATTTAATCATTATATTTTACCATCAAAGTTTAGAGGTTACTTTTCAGTAGCAAAACTCTCAAAAATAGATCAAAACCGTTGTAGCATCATATCTGATGTGCAGGGTTGCTATGACAACGCGGATTTAGCGATTTTTGTAATTTTCACAGATTTGGCGTGGAATTGTTACGGATTTGGTAAAGATTTTTTTTTCCTTCATTTGTTTTCCGTCGATCTTGTTTTACGTGCTGGGCACCAATGCTACAGACGCAAGGAGGCAGCTCCCACAACTGGACCCTACCTATCGACCCACCAGCTCATGAACCGGGGGGGACCAACGGCTTTACTTCCCTTCCGAAGGAAGGCGTGATCAGAGATGTTATGCCTCAGAACATCCCGGCGGCGCCAACTGGGATTGAACCCAGTCCTGCTGGAGTGAGAGGTAATCACGCTTACCACTATACAACCGGCGCCGCTTTTGGTAAGGATTTGTTCTGGCGCACAATTTGGGGATATGGCGCGATTTTGATTTAAAGATCGCACGGAATTGACTTGAATTTTATTTCAAATTTCTCGTAACAACCCTGGATGTGTTTCTATGATATCGCTGTGATTAAAATATCAGACACACGCCATTTTGTTTGAATTTTTCAGGCTTAAGGCTTTCAAAACTTCAACAGAATCTTTATCTAAGATTGTTCCTACATTTTCCTTGTAAAAATTTATTAAATATATAATTCCTATAGTTAAAATTTACCAGATACAACAAATGAGCTAATACCATAACTGGTACCATTGCATATATGGGATGGTGCCATAAATTTCCGCAAGCTGCCTCATGGAATAAGAATCAAATAGGTGTTTCAAAATTGTTTCCGCCTAAGCTAAAGTAATAAGATTATTTTTGTTTAATTTTCCAGAAAATACCCTGCCGATCCGATTAGTCTACATCTAGCCGCCGTTGCAGCCCGAAAGAAGACTATTTCCGAAACAGATTTGCATTTCCACGGACCACCCGTTAAAGCATTACCATGCCCAAAACCAGTTATAACCATTGCGGAGGAATTGCTGCACAAACTTAATCGCCATCCGATCGAACTGCAGCCCGCGAAAAAGAAATATGCTCCTAGGGTAGAATCATCTGAAGAGGAACTATATCAATGCCATCCGGAGAAACAGCACTACTCCGAAATTTGTTACGGCAAGATAGACCATCCGATCCCCACATTCGAGCAAATTAAGCCAGAAGAAGTGCCTTGTCAAACCGCACCGGAGGTCGAAGAATTATCTAGAGAATGTGCTGATACTGAAGAAGACTGCGATACTGAAGAGGAAACTCGAGAGGAGTCCCAAGAGAAAGAAGAGGAAGAAGACTGTTCTAGCCCAGATAATTCCACCGAGGAATCGGATGATTGCGATTCATGTGAAGAGGACGAGTACAGGAAACGATCTATACGCTTACCTGTGAATTCTGCTAAAAGACAAACAAGTTCGAAATGGAAGTTCTAACAGAAGAATTTGCTAAGGTTGGGTACCCTGTACGCAAATGCCTATACCAATACCAATAGCACCTCAATTCCCTGCAGCCATTGTAGTACCATAGTACGATTAATGAGTGTGATTTTAAATTTCAATCTATAAAAAGAACCATGTTCAGGTTGAAGTTTATGCTAAGATAATTTAAACATACAGATGACAGTTTGTTTTACAATTAGTTTATTAATTAAGGCTCAAATGTCTAAACAAGACTCTATGGAGCCGAGTAAGAGCGAATAATTGCATTTAAAGAATAATCATGAGATACATTAATTGTGAGTTCTTCTTACTTTTCCTGGAAGGCGATTTTAGATTTGCTTCTACTTTCTGCCGTGCCCGCAATTGACGAGTGCACGGATGGATTTGAGTTCACTCACTCGACTAAAAGTGACACAACAGCGGGGCCCTGTTTACTAAAAATGAACACATATGTGTTCATTTTTAGTAAACAGGGCCCCGCTGTTGTGTCACTTTTTGTCGAGTGAGTGAACTCAAATTCATCCGTGCACTCGTCAATTGGAGATCTAACGATAATAAAAGCGGCACTTGTGGCAAATAGGAGAACTAGGAAAATGACAATGGTTTCATAATTTTGCACGCTGAGGTATATAAGAGATATATTAAAAAGCATTTAATTAACAAAAAAAAAATTATTATTTTTGTATAGCTGCTAAGGGGGAAGAAACCTCAAAAACTACCCGCTAGATGTATAATTTATAATTTTTATTCTTTTTTCTTAGTTTTCGTTCAGATTTACAGATTCTTTTATATTATCAGGCCTCCTCTTCATATGCTTTCTGCTGCTTCTCAGTATGGTCTAAAGTTCCATTTTTTAGAAATAGGATACAGAGCTACTTCGGCCTAATCACCCATTTTATCTATCAAGCAGAAAACATCAAATATATTCATGATTCGATGATGATGATGATGATTATGATTCAAAGTGTTTTTATGTTACTTCATACGCGAAGTTAGCGATTTTCAGAGTTGGTTGGAAATGCTAACATGAAGCTTTAGTGTGATAATTTATTAGCTAGAGAATGATCTTTTAGAAGAGAGTAGGTGGATAGTGCCGTTAGAGTACGGCAGTATGAAAATTGTGTTAGAATGCAATGCTTCTTTACCCAACTATTGTGTTGCTCCAACCAACTTTGAAAATCGCTAACTTCGCGTATGAAGTAACATAAAAACACTTTGAATGTAACAACTCAAGGCGGGAGTAGCCGTCAACAATGCTAATGATGGTACAGCACGCAACAACCATCCTACTGCTTTCTCTCTGAGATCATCACGTTGGTCATGACGAGAGGAGCAAAACAATAGTTGGGTAAAGAAGAATTGCATTATAACACACCATCGACTGGAAATGCTCTCGCAACGTGGGGCTTTAGGTAGTGATGAAAACGTCGTTAGAACTGTTCCACAGCCGCAGTAAGTTTATGAGCAAAAGAGGGACGCACATTTTTTGCCTGTAGACTTGGAGACATACTTCAAGTCTCCGCGTACATCGTACGGGTTAGGCAAAAGATGTGCGTCTATCTTTAAAAACTGTCGCATTAATGGCCCTTCGCTCATTTTCAACTTCTATTCAATTTTCATACTGCCGTACTCTAACAGAACTATCCACCTACTCTCTTCTAAAAGATCATTCTCTAGCTAATAAATTATCACACTAAAGCTTCATGTTAGCATTTCCAACCAACTATGATTATGATGTTAGTGGTCTACACTCATTATAGCACGGAAACTAGTCCGATAGCTGTGTGCTCTCCTCACTGTTGAACTTGATCAAGCTCAATAACCTCTGATTGACATCAGCAAATCGCTGTATGAAGGGCCAAAAACGAATGGATGGCTTGATAGGCAATTTGCCTATTCATCACCTTGGGACAGTTAGGAATCTCCTTCCAACAACTTGATCAGTCAATTGGCCAGAAAACAAGCCATCCAATGCATGTGAATAAGAGCCCGCCCTTTTATCCACGAAATGTTATCAACAGGGAGTTGACATTTTCACTCTCCCCATCCAAATTGCTTCAATTGAGTGCCCTGATCCCTCCCCTTCCCAGCATTTATTGGTTCATGTAGTTTTAAATTTATATTTTTTTATGCAAATGCTATAATTTTGGGAAATTATATACGGTGACTTACCTTTGATGATGTATACTTACCAGTCCGCATCGTGCTCTCTTGCCGTGCGAATCTATTTGCTTTTTGCAGAAGGAAGTGTTACTACTACCTAAAGCTACAACAAATTTAAACAGCACTTTTCAGTGCTCAACCTGTAAAATGTCTATCTTGTTCAACTCTTATTCCTCTTCGATCCTTGTTTGGACCCTACCCGAGATAATCCTTCTTGGATATCAATTTGGAAAATTCCTCTTCGATTCTTCAGATTCTTATAGTAATCTGCTTGGAAGTCGATTTGGATAAAAATTTACTGCCGCCATGGCGCCTAAGCACAAAAGAAAAAAGCAAACTCTTGATCCCCATTCTGATGAAATTGATTTGTGCAATCAATTTGATTTGCTCACGGATGATGAGAATGATTAATCATCCAGGAATAATTCTAGTAAACTTTCCCGGCTTAATGCCAAGAAGGAAAAGATTCCCCCTATTGTGATAACCACTTCCGATTTCCATGCTTTTCGCATGAAACTTTTGAATTTCGTGAAAGTTAAGTTTTCACTACAAATTGGACGTCGTGGTGAATGCCGTGTATTGGCTGAAACCTTGGACGGATTCAAATGTCTTCTTAAGTATCTTACTAAGAAGCAGCACACATTTTTTACTTACGACACCAAAACTGAACGTGTGTTCAAGGTTGTCATGAAAGGACTGCCCAGTGGTGAATCCCTGGATCAGATCAAAGATGAACTGGCAAAATTACTTGGAGTTGCTCCAAGTAATCAAAATGAAAATGAAATCCCGTCTTAGCGATTCACGCAACGGGATTTTAATGATTTTTATTTAGTTCACTTCAAGCACAAACGAAGTTACAGACGACTTTCTCCGAAGAAATTAATTAAAATAATGTGGTTCTCTGTAATAGAATTTTAGACCACTTTCCGCCGGTCACCGCCAGGTTCGCTAGTATTTTTGATTTGAATTAATTCAAGTTGGTTTTGTGTGCAATGATCTGGCAACTCGCGTTGACGGGGTGCTGTTTTCTCACTCATCGAAGGAAATTTTGATTAGAGTGAGAAAGTAAGGAACATTCAGCGCGGGAACCGTGTGCGGTACTATAGGTGCGGCAGAAAGAATGTAGTCGACTCCTTTGTTCTCACGGTGTTCTTACGCATGGTCCAACGTTACGTCACACTAGATTATGCGTAAGAACATCGTGATAATGAAAGAGCAAAGTTTGTATGTTTGGGAGCCTCTAGCATTCAACCCCCATTCCCCCACCATCCGATTGAAACGGGCCAGATGAAGTGGGTTTGTGTAATTGAATTAGTGATTTCATGCTGAACATTGCATTATGTCCTAAGTAACATTAACAGATTCTCTTCGTTGAATTTTTCTTTGCATCACCACGGCCATGTAAAGACATTCCCCGGTATTTTTAGCACACAGATCGATAAAAGAAGCTTTTGTCTAGCATCTAATACGACAAACACATCAATAAACGGTTATGTGATAAAGTTATTTACGAAAGAGAAAGTCGACGAAGATAATCGATCAATGTTACTTAGGACCTAATGCAATGTTCAATGCTTGATTTATTAGCAAAATAACCGGCAGCAGCAACATCAGAGTGGCAATGGCGGAAATGTGTATCAGTGGTCGGTCCGAATGTGGTTTCTCCCCGTCGCACAGTGGTTGAAAAGTCCATTTTGACGCTCTTAATTAATAGCACCATGGAGAGCGGATTTAGAGTAAGGACGTCTTCAACAAAGTTTATGAGTATGACATGCTTCATATTTTGAAGGCATGGGTTTTGTGATTAATCCCCCTAAAAGTGAAATGAAAAATTTATTTTTTCACAATGTCGAGATAAATGGTTGACGTTTTCAGCAAAGTTGTAGCAAAAATGATTACAAACAACTTTGCTGAAAACATAAAAGTCCTAAATTTCACTCAAATCGAGATAGAGAGCGTTGTTTGAGGACGGACCCCTAAAAACACGTTTTTCATCAAAACACATATTTTCTTTAATTTTAGGTCCTCATTATGTTCAACAAAGTTGATTGGTATACTAAAATACACATCGTTCTAGAACATACTATACCTGCATCTTTTTAATAGGATGAGTTATTGATAAATTTTGTTCTATTTTCCTCATATTTTGGACTTGCGTATCTTTCTTAGGTGCAAAAAGGTGCAGATGAAATCAAATGCATCTAAAACTATATTAAAAGAGCTTTCAAATGGTGGTTAATTTGTCCGTCCACGACCGTCTGCTGGAGAGTTATGATCAAAACAAACACCCGTAGATAGGCTTTATAGAAGTCATGTCAACAACAAGGGGATAGTGTGTTTTATACCGCGTAATAAATTCGTTTCCATAGTAACCGACTCAATAAACAAATTTCCTACTTCTCAGAGCTTATCAAATTCAAGAACGGCACATTTTCTTTCCAAAAATTGCCCAGAAGGCAAAACTGAAGCATCAAGAATGAAAAAAAAAACTGTCAAATTCAGTTAAACTTGTGAGTCGATAAGTGTTTTTCCATAGTGCTCATCACTGTTTTTCATCAAGCGTGAAGCAATTCTAGATAAACATTTCAAAAGCTCTTATCTGCATTGATCGATTCTCTTCATCGACTTTCTCTTCCGTTATTAACTCAGCTTCAAAACCTTTCGCTATTGTATTTCACGTTTTGGATGCTAGATAAGAATCTCCTTTATTAAACTATGTTGAATAATTAGTGCGAAATCTGTTTGCATAGCAGTGGTTATCAAAAGAGAAAGTCGATGAAGAGAATCGATCAAAGCAGATAGGACCATTTGAAATGTTTATCGAGAATTGT